CACACACACACACACACACACACACACACACACACACAAGGAAGCAGCCCGTGACAGCTGACTAACTCCTAGGTATCTATTTACTGCTAAGTAACAGGGGCATTCAGGGTGAATGCCGCTGTTACCTAAGCTAGGCTACCAGGCCCCTAACCTGGTAGCCTGTGTGTGTGTGTGTGTGTGTGTGTGTGTGTGTGTGTGTGTGTGTGTGTGTGTGTGTGTGTGAATATGACCATACCAGTATGTGAGTATACTGTATATACAATTGTATATACTCATTTTTGTGTATATTTAGTGTGTGTGTATAGGTCCATATTCAGTGTGCAAAACAGTTGCATTTCTTACGGTGTTGCGGCTGTTGAGAGCATGCGATGGTGCAAGCTAGGGGAACAAGAGGGATATTGTGCTTATATTGGGTTTGGGTAACTGAAAAGGGAGAGTGGGTTTAGGTTTGTTTTGGGTTAGCTCTCTATGGTTAAGGTAAGCTTAGACAAGCTGTAACTGAGCTTGCATTTACCTTAGATAAGGGAGGAAAAATCCTTTGTGTATTTGGGTAAGGAAAGAGGTCTTTTGGGTCCTCCACTGGATTGGGTTGCTGGGGATGCAATTAGAAAAGATTAGGAGTTGATAACTTTGGGTGTTTGGGTTACGATTGGGTCTTAAGAGGGGTCGTACGACGGGGGGTAAGTTTGGGTTTTAGAGGGGGGGGAGGGGGGGGGGTAGCGAAGTAGAATGAGAGGTGGTGGTAAGATTTGGTTTTGGGTGTGGGTTTGGGGTGGGGGGGGGGACCGAGGAGTGTGGGGGGGGGGCATATATGGATTATGTAGGCGAGGGGATGAAAGAGTTCCCCTTTAGGTTCATGGAAAAGGGGTGGGTGGGGGGGTGAGGGGAGAGATGGGGAAGGGGGGGTGCGTGTTAGGGGACAGAGAGAGGGGGGGTGAAAGGGGGGGGGGGTTGGGCTTGGTTGAACCACAGGTGAAGGTCTAAGGGCTGTATTGCTGGTGGTGAGATCTGGAAATTGAGCACCCTGAACAAGCACCCTGAACAAGCACCCTGAACAAGCACCCTGAACAACCATTACGGTCAACAAGAGGACCATTACCATGACTAGAAGCCCAAATAGATTTTCCCTCCCCTGGATAGGTATCTATATCTTACCTATTACTGAAAACCTCAAGTTTATACACTTATACTCTCTAAGGAAATTCCTGTCTATAACTTCCACTAATTTTGTTCTCCACGTGTCTTCCCCAACTTGGGATTTTTAAGATAATTTCTCCGGGAGAAAAAACTAACTGAATTGTGTAGAAAAAATGTTGTTTTCTGATAAGCATCACGGCGGATGTGTTGGTAATTGTTGGCTTGTATTAGAGTCACTCGAAGCCGCTAAAGCTGCACTCTGCTGACGTGTAGCTGTGTCCTGCCAGCTTGACACCGCTGCATGCTTCAAGCTGGCTCCAGCTGCACCTCAAGCTGGCTCCAGCTGCACCTCAAGCTGGCTCCAGCTGCACCTTAAGCTGGCTCCAGCTGCACCTTAAGCTGGCTCCAGCTGCACCTTAAGCTGGCTCCAGCTGCACCTTAAGCTGGCTCCAGCTGCACCTTAAGCTGGCTCCAGCTGCACCTTAAGCTGGCTCCAGCTGCACCTTAAGCTGGCTCCAGCTGCACCTTAAGCTGGCTCCAGCTGCACCTTAAGCTGGCTCCAGCTGCACCTTAAGCTGGCTCCAGCTGCACCTTAAGCTGGCTCCAGCTGCACCTTAAGCTGGCTCCAGCTGCAGCTTAAGCTGGCTCCAGCTGCAGCTTAAGCTGGCTCCAGCTGCACCTTAAGCTGGCTCCAGCTGCACCTTAAGCTGGCTCCAGCTGCACCTTAAGCTGGCTCCAGCTGCACCTTAAGCTGGCTCCAGCTGCAGCTTAAGCTGGCTCCAGCTGCACCTTAAGCTGGCTCCAGCTGCACCTTCAAGCTGGCTCCAGCTGCACCTCAAGCTGGCTCCAGCTGCACCTTCAAGCTGGCTCCAGCTGCACCTCAAGCTTGGCCCCTGCATTTACCAACTCATTCCTAAATAAAGGCCAAATGGCCTTTATTTAAGGTAACCTAACCTAACCTAACCTAACCTAGGCCTAAATATCTACAATATGCTATTATATAATTTATATTTGAGAAAATTACTGTTTTGAATGAACATCATGTTAACATTGATGAATGCGTCTGTGGGGTCGACCGCTGGATGGAATGGACTTGAGTCGAGGACGGGTTGTCACAGGCAGCGTTCTAGCGACCGACACGACAAACTCGTCTCCTAATTTTAGATTATTACGGGGTCACCATAGCCCGTGCTGCTTGGAACGTTTTCTTCCAGGTAGCAAATCTTAAACAACAAAACCATCCTAATTTTAACAGTCTGCTCACTCAAAATGTGAATTTTCTCATATATAAATTATATAATATTATATAATAGAATATTGTAGATATTTAGGCATAGGTTAGGTTAGCCAGTGGCTGAGCGGACAGAACACTGGACGCATGATCCCGTGGTCCCGGGTTCGATCCCGGACGCCGGCGAGAAACAATAAGCAGAGTTTCTTTCACCCTGATACCCCTGTTACCTAGCAGTAAAATAGGTACCTGGGTGTTAGTCAGGTTAGTCGGTTGGGTGCTTCCTGGGGGTGGAGGCCTGGTCGAGGACCGGGCCTCGGGGACACTAAAGCCCCGAAATCATCTCAAGATAACCTCAAGAAGAAGAAGAAGGTGTTTAGGTTAGGTTAGGTTAGGTTAGGTTAGGTTAGGTTAGGTTAGGTCTTTAGGTTCTGTTGGCGATTATTTGTATTTGTAGTACGAGGGTGAAGCATTTACAGCGTTGTGGTTCGAACAGAGGTCGTCAGTGAAGCACTTGTTCCGGAAGTGTTCGAACGTCATCAGTTGTGAGTCGTGTGTAAACCGTTTATCAGTCATAAACAGCTGGGGTTTGGCGGGTGGATGGAATGGACTTTGGGACTGTGTTGATGAGGACGGGGTAAATACTGCAGCCCGTCCTGCAAATACAAATAATTGCCAGTCTAACGTAATCTAGGCCTAACTATGACCCCATGAATTATAATATATATATATAATTAAACAATTTGAAACAGACCGTGCGATATAATTGGTGAATACGTCATTGTGGGCCACTCACAAGATGGACCAGCATAGGCCAGTGGGCCAGGCTGCCCCCTAGGCCTACCGGCCAACTGCGGGGGGGGGGGGCAGGGGACTGAGAAGCTGTAACGACACTTGGTGATCGTTAAGTTGTATACAAACACAACTTGGAATACAGAATGAAACATTTTATTTGTAACAACTTTTCCAAATCCTTTTGTGTGGTCGATTTGATAATGTTTAATTGTACTCAACACTACTCTATTTGTACTTATTCATAATACAACCCAAATACATCCCAAATACAACCTGATAGTACTAAATACTATATGGTTCACAGAGCCACTAGCTTGTAACACGGGTTCGGGTTCCTCTCTCTTTACTTCCTTCTTCTCTACTCCCTCTACCCGTATTCTTACTTTTATTTCTAAACCAAGGGACTCCAAAACTTTTACCAAAGCCAACTCCACGCCACGTGGTCCTAAGACGATTGACCGACTTAGGATTCTACACCCAGTATGACGTGACCTAAGCTCTGAACAAAACCCTAGAGTCACCTCTGCTGCCACCACCAGACCAGTAATACAAGAGCAATGATCGAGGTCTGGATCGATCACGCTAATTAATCAACCTAGGGGCTTGATCCCCACTATAAACGATGACCTTGAGTGTGGAATAAATTACACGGTAATGATAATTCCGATTCGATGTTAGAATCGGCGCCCAATGCAACTCTGCCTCGTGTGGACCACGTGACCAGGACAAGTATACACATAAAACACATGGAAACAATAAAATGCAAATTAATAACAAATTTAATTTATTAAAAGAAAACTAAAACAAAATCTAAATATGTTCACTCCCTATCACTTTAACACTCCCTACTTGACCTGAGTGGCAAATGAGACTATTTCTATACTTAACAATAGCAACTATACCTTGGGCGACCACAGCTCTAGGTGTTGGGGCTGTTCTTGGGGAGAGGTAAGATGTTGACCTCTTATCCCAGCTGCTTCCGTGACCACACTGATCTCTCTTGTCTGGTCTACCCCAGACTAGAACATTGTATTGTTCCGCATCGCTTACCCAGTTACTTTAGCAAGGTTAAGTTATAACAATTAAACTCTGTTTGTACTGAATTGATCCAGACTGGTTGAATTATTTTACTGAATTAAATTACAAACATCTAACGGCAGAGCTGTTCCCGATCACAAAAATGGTTATTAAAACTTTGAGAAATAGTAGACCTGTCAACCCCTGATGACCTATGACCGCCGGTCACTCCGCCTCAAAAGTTAGATCTGATTCGTGACGTCACTGATGGTGACTTAAACTCAATAATTAGAATACTCTTGATATTGTATCCAGTACTATTATACAATACAATTTTAATGCAAAATGAGTAAAGGCTAATTTTCTCTAAATTGCTGAATACTATAGGATGATTCATTATACGCAGTTATGAACAAAGCGTCGGTTATTTCCACCGCGAATCCCCCTGGGGGTCAGGTCACCATGCGGCTCAGCTTCCCATTCTCTTTTGTCGATAAACCACTCTGGATAATTCTTACAACAGCCTAGTCTGTTACAAGCTGACCACCTGACCGGGTCCCCAGTGCCGCCAATTGCCTATTTTTGTGGTGTATACTAATGTATTCCTCCGGACCATACACCCCCATACACCCATACACTCACCAGAAACTGTATTTGATCACCTGATCTTTTAGCCTCTGATACTGTATATTAACCCCCCCCCCCTGGCTCTTGACCCTCTGTATTAATGTGATAATGTACTTCATACAACTGTGACTCAATGCTGTGTATATGTGTATACGAGTAGACGCGCCAACTGATGTGAGATATTTCCTTACAGCAGATGTCCTCTGGGAAGGTCGGGCTGAAGATGGCAAAGCTGAGACGCGAAGCTTCAGGCTCCGACAGCGGGTGCGAGGAGAGTCAGAAGAACAACAAGGAGAAGGACAAGGAGAAGCCCTCGACGGAGAACAGTGTTAGGAACCTCAATAGCGGAGCGGCGGGGGCCCCTACCAGCGGCCCTACCTCAGGCGGAAACACGGGCGGAAGCGCCTCCTCCCTCGGTGGGGCGCCGCCCCCTTCGGCAGTGAGTGGAGATATGATAATAAAAGGGGCGCCACCTACCAGCAACCCGAACACCGCCGTGGCGGCGGCGGCGGCGGCCAGGAATATCAACCAGCAACGACCTAAACCTTGCTGTTTCTTCTGGTGCTGCTGCTGTAGGTGTTCTTGGTGAGTACTGCTCTACACCTCTGTGTCTAAACCTCTATACCTACACCCTAAATATATTTTCAGGTCTTAAGAATGTCAATTACAACGGATTGTAGACCCTGTTTACAAGTGATACACTATTTAAGAGTTCAATTTAAGAGTTAAAAGCATAATTAAAACCATTTGACTTCTTGAATGGACCTCAGATCAAAACGACTTGATAAAGGGTCCGTAACGAACCGAAATTACTTAATAAGCGGTCTATAAGACGGACCGAAATGATTTTTACATGTCTCCAAGACGGAGCGAAACGTTGTCACTCTCATGTCACATATGAGGCGTGGATTGTGTGGGTTCAAACACGCTGTTGCGGGTTCTTCTCTGCATTGAGGAATAAACGTCGGTTTCAAGGGAAGATTGGGAAAAATATTTGCTTTGCTTGCTAAATATTTCTCTAGTATGTTGTGAGAGAGTTATATATGGTGACTTAATGATGAGTTAATGAGTTAACTTAATGATGAGTTAATGAGTTAACTTATTGAGTTACTGATGATGTATCACACTCAGTTATGTTCAAGTACAAATATGTCAATTTAAGGGAACATTAAAGTTATTTAATAGTGACGTTATTTATTATTAATGTATATTTTTTTATGTAAATAATTGTTTATAAAGTTTGTCAATTTTGTTAAGTAAATTTTGTAAAGGTAATTTTGCAGTTGTAAATTTTGTAAAGTAAATTTGGTAAAGAAATCAATTTTGTATATGAAAAAAGGATTGTAAAACAAATTTTGAAAAGTATTTTTTTTGTTAGCAAAAATTCTTAAAAATAATTTTTTTTGTAAAACAGGATATTCTGTCTATAAGCTAACAGCAATAGGCTGACACATCATAGTGTAACCATATATATATATATATATATATATATATATATATATATATATATATATATATATATATATATATATATATATATATATATATATATATATATTATTAAATATGACCAAAAAAGTAAGATTAATCATTCTAACACGAATTTTCTCGATCTTTCGTACGTTTCTTTTCACTGTTGGTGGTAATTCAAAAATCAATTCTCCAAAATTCATTTTTATTTCTAGTCTGACGCGACACTTGAGCGCGTTTCGTAAAACTTATTACATTTTCAAAGACTTTAGTTTACACATATACAACTGAATAGAACTTACACATCTTCGATTTGTTTATATCTACATTTGAGTGAGGTGGATGGGGTGAGGTGGTATTAATAGGGTATTAAATTCTTAAACACAAGACAGAACACGAAACAATGGGTATTGAATGGAAGTGATTGTAGAAAGCCTATTGGTCCATATTTCTTGATGCTTCTATATTGGAGTGGAGTCTTGAGGTGCGTAGAATATAGTTGTGCATTAATTGGCTGTTGATTGCTGGTGTTGACTTCTTGATGTGTAGTGCCTCGCAGACGTCAAGCCGCCTGCTATCGCTGTATCTATCGATGATTTCTGTGTTGTTTACTAGGATTTCTCTGGCGATGGTTTGGTTGTGGGAAGAGATTATATGTTCCTTAATGGAGCCCTGTTGCTTATGCATCGTTAAACGCCTAGAAAGAGATGTTGTTGTCTTGCCTATATACTGGGTTTTTTGGAGCTTACAGTCCCCAAGAGGGCATAAGAAGGTCACTACCAAAGATACGTTACAAGCAGAACTTATTGCGGAAGGAGGAAAGAATCGAGGCAACTACAGAAGCACCATACTGTCCCCCGAGCTCAAAGCGGCAGCTAAGAGCCTTCGTGAGAACAAGGAGATAGTTGTCAGGAGAGGCGACAAGTCGCCAATATACGTCATTCTTGAAAAAGACGAATATCTGGCGAAAATGAACCTCATACTCTCTGACCAAACTAAATTCCAAAGGGTAACGAAGGACACTACAACCGAACTGAAAGCAAAGGTCAACAAATTGATCGAAACTGTGAACGCCAAGAAATCTGGACTCCACCTGCCAAAGATTATTGGGGAATATAAACCTGGATATGCGTATGGAAATGTCAAGACACACAAGCCTGGAAACCCACTTCGGCCAATCATCAGCCAGATACCCACACCCACGTACAGACTGGCGAAACGACTCAACGGCTTGCTGACTCCTTATGTCCCTTGCGCCTTCAGCCTGAAGTCTCCAAAGGAATTTGTTGACTTGCTGCGGGGAACACGGGCCACAGGGATAAGAGCCTCGTTGGACGTAGAATCTCTGTTTACCAATGTACCTGTGGATGAAACAATCGGGATGATAGCCGACAGAGTGTACCGTGATCCGGCCTGTACCTGTACTCCTCTTGACATACCAGAAAACAGTCTAAGGAAACTACTCCAAGCTTGTACTAAAGAGGCACCCTTCTTGAGCCCGGATGGACACATGTATAAGCAAGTAGATGGGGTCGCCATGGGTTCTCCCCTAGGTGTCCTGTTTGCAAACTTCTACATGGGTACCATCGAGCAAAAAGTCTTAGTCGACATGAACTTGAAACCGGCCATATACTGCAGGTATGTTGAAGACATTTTTACACAGGTACCAGATGTCAGACATCTGCAGGAGCTGAAGGAGGCATTTGAGCCGAATTCTGTGTTGCGTTTCACTTACGAGATGGAGAAGGATGGGAAGCTGCCCTTTCTAGATGTAACAGTCATGGAAAGGAGCGGAGTTTTCCACACTGCAGTCTACACTAAGGAAACAAACATAGGAATGTGCCTGAATGCCAACAGTGACTGCCCGGACAGGTACAAGAGGAGTGTTGTTAACGCTTATGTCGACCGTGCCCTCAGCCACAGCTCAGAATGGAAGCAAGTCGACGAAGAACTCTGTAGGGTAAGGCAGGTCCTAGTCAACAACGGCTTCTCCAATGGTTTTGTGGAAGACATCATAAGAAGGAAAGTGAAATGCCATGCAACCTCTGAAGAGACAACTAACACAACACCTATACCCCCTATTAGACTATTTTACAGGAACTTCTTTTCTACAGCCCATAAAACGGAGGAAAGGGTCCTGAAAGATATTGTCAGTAGAAACGTTATTCCTACAGACAAAAATCAGAAGATACAACTGACGATTTACTATAAAACCAGAAAAACAGCCAGCCTACTCATGAGAAACTCTCCAGACACAAAGTAGAACGCTTTAAAAGAGACCAACGTCGTCTATGCCTTCAAATGCCCTCTTGGGGACTGTAAGCCTAAAAAAAAAACAGTATATAGGCACGATAACAACATCTCTTTCCAGGCGTTTAACGATGCATAAGGAACAGGGCTCCATTAAGGAACATATAATCTCTTCCCACAAACAAACCATCACCAGAGAAATCTTAGCAAACAACACAGAAATCATCGATAAATACAGCGATAGCAGGCGGCTTGACGTCTGCGAGGCACTACACATCAAGAAGTCAACACCAGCAATCGACAGCCAATTAATGCACAACTATATTCTACCCACCTCAAGACTCCGCTCCAATATAGAAGCATCAAGAAATATGGACCAATAGGCTTTCTACAATTACGTCCATTCAATACCCATTGTTTCGTGTTCTGTCTTGTGTTAGAATTTAATACCCATTGTTGAAAGTTCGTTTTCACCTCATCCACCTCACCCAAATGTAGATATAAACTCGAAGATGTGCAAAGCTCTATTCAGTTTCAGTTGTGTGTTTGTAAACTAAAGTCTTTGAAAATGTAATAAGTTTTACGAAACGCGCTCAAGTGTCGCGTCAGACTAGAAATAAAAATGAATTTTGGAGAATTGATCTTTGAATTACCATCAACAGTGAAAAGAAACGTAAGAAAGATCGAGAAAATTCGTGTTAGAATTATTAATCTTACTTTTTCGGTCATATTTAATAATATATGTCTACAGGAAAGACTGCTACCAAAATATACTAATATATATATATATATATATATATATATATATATATATATATATATATATATATATATATATATATATATATATATATATATATTATTAAATATGACCGAAAAAGTAAGATTAATAATTCTAACACGAATTTTCTCAATCTTTCGTACATTACGCTTCACTGTTGGAGGTAAATAAAAAATCACTTCTCCAAAATTCATTTTTATTTCTAGTCTGACGCGACACGGGCGCGTTTCGTAAAACTTATTACATTTTCAAAGACTTCACAAATACACAACTGATTAGAACGTATCTCTGATTTTATATCTACATTTGAGTGAGGTGGGAAGGGTGATGTGGCATTAACACAAGACAGAACAGGAGGGGATATTAATAGGGTATTAAAAGTATCAACACAAGACAGAACAGAAACAATGGGTATTGAATAGAAGTGTTTGTAGAAAGCCTATTGGTCCATATTTCTTGATGCTTCTATATTGGAGCGGAGTCTTGAGGTGGGTAGAATATAGTTGTGCAATAATTGGCTGTTGATTGCTGGTGTTGACTTCTTGATGTGTAGTGCCTCGCAAACGTCAAGCCGCCTGCTATCGCTGTATCTATCGATGATTTCTGTGTTGTTTACTAGGATTTCTCTGGCGATGGTTTGGTTATGGGAAGAGATAGCCATCTCTTCCCATAACCAAACCATCGCCAGAGAAATCCTAGTAAACAACACAGAAATCATCGATAGATACAGCGATAGCAGGCGGCTTGACGTTTGCGAGGCACTACACATCAAGAAGTCAACACCAGCAATCAACAGCCAATTATTGCACAACTATATTCTACCCACCTCAAGACTCCGCTCCAATATAGAAGCATCAAGAAATATGGACCAATAGGCTTTCTACAAACACTTCTATTCAATACCCATTGTTTCTGTTCTGTCTTGTGTTGATACTTTTAATACCCTATTAATATCCCCTCCTGTTCTGTCTTGTGTTAATGCCACATCACCCTTCCCACCTCACTCAAATGTAGATATAAAATCAGAGATACGTTCTAATCAGTTGTGTATTTGTGAAGTCTTTGAAAATGTAATAAGTTTTAC